AGTAAGACTGTTCACATCCCAGGTCTATGGCTTGAGGGGATTTGCCAGCAGTTTAATCCATGTGGGGACCCTGGAAATGGATTTTGGGCTTCCATGGCTGCCTATAACCTAGAAACTGAGTGTTCTGGATTTAAATTCTGATACTATTCTTTCCTTTTGATTTGGATTTTACTCTTTACAATCCTTGGCTCACACAGGCTTGTGTACTTCTTCCATGTGGACCTAGTTGATGTCTCACTTAGATGGCTGCTTGTTTGAAGACAAACCATCAAGACCCCAGACGCTGTTCTTTTGTTAGCCAACCACCATCTGGTTTCTTTAACACACTTTGCTACAGCAGCCGTATTTTCAGTGATCTCTTCATGAAGACGAATATTGAGCAGGATCATACCATAAGAACTGATTGTTCTTAGATTGGGACTAGAATTAAGTTTGAGTTCCAAATCCATTTATATATCTGTGTGTTATCTATGTCTCTGGTTCACTTTAGAGACATCATTATCATTTTGTGGTAGACATTATAAGTCATCCCCTGGTACATAAGGGTTGATAGTGTCATTAATTTAGCCAATGGTATAAAATTAAAAACGCTGTTGAGAAAAGGAAATTATACATGTATAGGTCTGCTTTTCAGATCACAATATATGAATTTTTTACTTGTGCAGAGTATACACTTAAGTGAATAGACACTATTTACATGAACCGTGGAGTTTGGTGATAGGGAAAAACTTTCAGTCACACTTACGCAAAATCATGCCTACCAAACTAATTAATACATGTCATAAGAAAGCAACGGGGGCATTAGAATCGTAAATGATGGTAGTTCTGGGTCACCTTTCAGTTAGCACCCGCAGAGCAAGAGATCCAAACCAAAGTCCAGTGACTGCTAATTTCATCACCTCGGGGAGGCAGTCATCTGTTTCTTCTCCCACTAGGGGTTTTGTCAGCCCTCAAATCCCTTACGGATGAGTTTGAGGTAAAGCCCGGTTCACTTTTGAGGATTCCACATTGGATCTTTCTACTGTGCCCTACGAAGGGTGTTGTGTGCCATGAAAGGACAGAGTCTAAAGTTCCTGAAGTATAAAGCACATGGCCTACGTCACCAAGGGCTAGATAGAAACTAGGTCAACAGTGTTTAATTAGGAACATAGTACTTACCAGGCGTATTCTCCCCATGGGTTCCATTTAGATATTAAGTTTTTTCCCCCATAGGAAGTTGTTCCACCTGGTTTACTCACCAACAGAAATGTAATTGCCTTCTCCATAATATACACCCTCCCTTCTCCTTGTCTTGACATGAATTTCCAGTAAGGTTTGCTTATTACTCTTGTAGGAATGCCTGTTGATTTGGGGTTACCGTAGTACAATGTTGTATGGCAACAAAAACAGTACTTTCTTATTGATGGTTAGTAGTGTAGTGATTTTGGAACATCAAAAGGAAATAGGATTGTTTTGACAGAGCTAAAATGTTGCAGAGTATATGATGTTTATTGGTATAAAAACGTTTGGTACATTCACATGTACAAAAAGCTTTAGGTTTATGACAGGATTAATCACAATTTACTGTGTAGAAATCAACTTTTATTTTGAAGCTGCTACTGTGTTTAATTATCTTAACTTTTTAAGTATCTTAAATACCCTACTGTTTTTAAATTCTGCCTGGAGGCTTGTATTTGGAGCACTAGCACTGAAAAATATTTTATAGAGCCTGGGGGATATTTGAGAGGGGCAGGATTGAAGAAATAAACCTTTTTATAGGCACATTTTCTATCCCCAGAACTCTGGGGTTGTAGTGTGTTACAAGTTGGTCTTCTAACCACAAGGTCAACAGTTCTGCATCAAAAGCTGCTCCTTGGGATAACTAGAAAGAACTACAGTCCTGGCACCTCACAGGGGCAGTTCTACTGTTCTATGGGCTCCTGTGAATCAGAATTGACTCAATGGCAATTCGTTTGGTGTTTGAGTTTTTCTGTTCTTATCAAAGAATGGGTTGCCATGTAGGGAGCTTCTAGGCTGCTCATTTCAGTAGATATCTGTGTTTTATATCAAG